GGTCTTGATGTCCTGCTTGCCCGGAGGGCCACTCCACAAAGATGGAAGCTGAAAGTGCTGGATTTACAGGTGAACGCTGACCGCACCTTCTGGGACGTGTGGTTGGGGACTCACGCGGATGAGACCTCCTCAGAGGCCACGCAGCCCGGGACTCAGACCCAGAACGGGCACCCTGCGAGGCCAGGCGAGACGTTTGCATCCTTGGCCGCCCCGGTGGCGGTGGTGTTTCCCAACCTGTGTTTTCAGAAGACGGACCAAGATGAGCTCCTCAACTTCCTCACGGAGCGGGTCACGCAGGGAAAGGACCTGCCGCACCTGTGCTGCACGAAGCTGGAATTTGGGAGGCCTGTGCCCCACCACCCCATCGTGATGGAGAGGATCCTGAAAATGGTGCAGCTGGACGCTGTCCAGGAGGTGGAAGTGACTTGCAAATGGGACCTGGACTACCTCAACTGGTTCGCTCCGTACCTGGCCCAGATGGGTCACCTGCAGAGCCTCCGTCTCTCTGGGATCAGGCTGGGCTGCAGGTGGTTCAGCAGCAAGGACGAGGTGGACGAGCAGCTTGCCCGGCTCACCTCTCAGCTCTCCCGGCTGCGTTCCCTCCAGCACCTCATCCTGAGGGGCATCACCTTTTGCCACGACCACCTCTACAAGCTGCTCAGAGGCTTGCCAACCCCACTGGTGTCCCTTGGGATAGTGGATGGCTTGCTTTACTTCTCTGACCTGACACACCTGTCCTTGTGTCCCTGCCTCCATCAACTCCGGTTCTTGGACCTGCATGGGGTCTGCAAGGTTGGCTTAGATCATTCCTTCCTCCACCTTTTGATAGAGAGCACCTCAGCCACGCTGACCCACCTGGACTTAGGCGACTGTAACATCAAGGACCGCGACCTCAAGGCCCTGCAGCTCGCTCTGGGCCACTGCTCTCAGCTCAGAACCTTGCTGTTGTGTGGAAACCCCATCTCCACGGTTGCCCTGCAGGGCCTGCTGCACCACACCTTCCCTCTGTGCAAGCTCTCCCTTGTGGAGCTCCCTGTCCCTCCGCATTGCTATGTGGGCCCAGCACACTTTCTGCACCTGAACCGTCTTGTCCGGGCGATGGACCAGCTGAGGCTGACCCTGCCGGTGCACAAGGTCCACTCCCTCAACTTTGCACACAGTCCTGACAGCCGTGCCTACGATGCGATCCTCCTACATCTAGACAATGGACGGACGTCATGAGCATCTTCTTGGCTGTGTGCCCTCCACCCTAAATGGTTGTGGGAAACAGAGTTCTCCCAAGTTGTCTCCCCCAAATAGATGCCAAACCTAGCTGCTTGCCACACATGGTGAACGACTAGACACTTGGAGGTCAAAACAAGTAGGCCAGGGGTCATTCTCCCTAAGGG